TTCGAGTCTTAATAAGCCAAATCGAAGTTACAAGTCAATTCAGTCCGTCGAATTGAGTCTCGAAAGGGTTTATTAAAATTACAAGTCGAATTCAAAAAGATAAAGTTTCAAGAGAAATTCCGATAAGTATATATTCTTTATTGTTTATTAGTGAGTGAAAGTGGACAAGGAATGTCGTTCTTTATTGAATTTCAAGCACTTATATACATTATGTCTTGTTAAAGTGTTTATGCTCTTTCTTGAGCGAATTCGCTTTGATTTGAGCGTATACGCTCTTCTTTGAACGTATACGCTCTTCTTTGAACGTATACGCTCTTCTTTGAGCGTATACACTCACGGCGCAGAGATCAACAATTTGTGCAAGCACATATACGCGATTTTTTGAGCGTATACGCTCTTGCATAGAATAAGTCATCAAGCCATAATCACTACCATTTTAGTATACTTGATTAAAATATTTACGCGATACGAAAAAAGTCGGTTACTGCTATGAAAATGGAATTGGAAGAAACTATACGCATAGAAATATTAAAGGCAAAAACTATACTAATATATATATATATAATTTTTATTTGTTACAATAGAACGTAGATCCCAAAGTTTATTAATTATAAAAAAATTTATATATGATCATCACTATATCATCTGCACTATGTTAGTACGTAGGTACATACGTACGTACGTATTTTCTATAGCAAATAAACATTTTACACAAAACAAGCAGGATTTCTTACTAAGCAAATCAAATTTCATCCACTAAGTAACGATTTAGTTAATTTTTCATTAATCTATTTTCACGTTACACAAAGCAAACTTTCCGCCCAGGACGTATAACATGAAAATCGATTAATGAAAAATTAACCAAGTCGTATCAAAATTTGAATATATCTAGTAAACGGCATTTTCAATAACTTTACTTAGTGGATGAAGTTCGCGACTTGCTTAGTAAAAAATCTTGTTTCATGAGTTATTTTCGATGCGTCAAATTACCCCTGCGCCATTATACCCTTATTTACCTTATGGGCGGAAATGAGTATACACAAAAATAGATATTTATTCTATCTGAACTATCATATCAAGGTTTTTACTTGATATTCTCCATATCATAATATTCCGCATGATGAAAATTTAGTAAGAATAATTTGCTTAGATCATAGATCCGAAATTAAATATGAGGACCCTCAACTACTTTTGGATTTAATGAATGAATTCTTAGATTCTCAACCTCAGATCGACTAACTGCTAATGAATTAGTTAAAGCACTGAAACAATTTTTGAAGATTTGAAAATTAAAAAGATTTGAGCAAAAATTCATGTAAATTCACATCAATGCGATATACATAAACAAGCTATTTATACAAGTCGATTTTGAATTATCAGAATCACTCAAACGCAATAAATAATTGCTAATCTAGCATTTGCAGATATGATTGTTGCTAATTAAAATATCGAGTTTAAAGTGTAATTTTAATAAGCATTGTTTATACCGTATAAACTCGGAATAACGTCCAGGGGCGTTTTTTTGGGGTTTGGTCAGAATTAAGCTTAATTTAGACCAAATTTTAAAATTACATCCCTAGGCATTATTCCGAGTTTATACAGTACTCATGAATTAAATAAAATTAATTTTTGACTAATATCATAATTATTTCTTTAAATCTAAAAATATATATTTTATATTAATATAATTGTACAATTAAATAAAAAAATAAATTTTAGATTAATATAATTGTACAATTAAATAAAAAAATAAAATTTAGATTAATATAATATTACATCTACAACTCTCTTAGAATATATCAAGTGCCTTATTAGAATATTAAAATTTATAGTGAAAAGCTTAAGACTTCTGTTTACGTACCTATAAATAATAACATTTTTATGATCCATTTCTATCTTTGAATTGCTTAGTCGAAATAACATAACATAGTTTATTTTAATAAGATTTATCTATCTTCATTTAAAAAATCTTTACATTGATATTTTACCAATTATCTTAATTGAATGATTTTACCTTGCGCGAGGCTGATGCCACCTTGTGCAAGGTGCATGAAGTTGCGGATGTGAGAATTTCTTCATCTCGCACTAATTACAACTCAAACCCGACAGCAAGGAAAAGTATATAAAGTATAAGTTTAGAGATCAATGTACTTCAAATTATAATGTAAAAATGTCATCTTATATACTACGTCAACATCATCGTAAATTTTCATAAATTTGCCTAAATTTTTTAAGGGGATATCGTCATCTAATCCTAGTAAAGAGAAATATTTTACTGCAAGAGTAGCTAACCCAGGAAATCTAGATTTGGAATCTTTCCATCATTTACACAGGTCATCATTTTCATTGAAGAAAATTGCTGGAAGATTTTTATAACATTCCAATTCATCATTTGCTAAGTATTGTATTGCATCATTCGAATTATTGCCAAAAGAATTATCAGTTTTTGAATAATAATCTTGACATTTATCTAGCACAAGCCTTTTAACTGCCTTCTAATACATTGTATCGCAAAAATGCAAAATTTAAATGAATCTTACATAATCAATGAAAATTGATTTCGCAATTGATCTAAAAACATACCTACTTTTTGATGGAGGTTTAGATATGAATAGATTAAAAATTTTAGAAATGATATGAGAACAAAGTGTTCCAAATAACCAGCCGGCGAAATCAATGGAGGAATCTCGTTCAAAATTTTAAATGTTTTAAATGCAGTAACAAGCATATCTTTAATATTTCTCATGGTGACGACTTCGACGTGTTCCAAAAGGTTTAAACAATTGTAATAATCTGGAAAACATACTAAATGGTAATTTATATAATAAAAGGCCTTTAAACTTATCGATTTTTCCCCTAACAAAACCATCAATATTATTATTATTACTATTAATTAATAATTTGAAAGGCCTCTTCATTAATGTAAGAAATTCTATTTGATGATAAACGCAATCACAACTATTGTTGCTTGTATTTTGAATATCATTCATTGCTTTTAAAGTTCTTTTATCATTTAAAAACTTTACTACTGAACAAAGCCATTCAGTAGCATTCATAACGGCAGTGATAATGTTAGATATTCTTGGTTAAATATTTCAGATATTTCTTGTGCATTGGTATTTTCTGCCCATATTTTTAAGCAATGCATTATTAAATCATCACCACTAGCTCCATTTTTACAATTAACGGAC